CTGTGACTAAATGTAATAGTGCCATGTTTTCATGTGTTCATGTTTCAACGTGATTAGTTAAGACGTAAATTTTAGCAAATTTTTTTTACTGTTCATATATTAAGAAAGTGCAAAACTTCACAAACTGGTTATTTGAACGAGTAGTTGTCAAGTCAGTTTTAAGGAAGCCTTGTGTAATTAGGTTTGCATATCAGTCAGCCATGTCCATTTTAAATTCATCTGGGATGCTACAAAACTAGAAAAGTATACTGAAGTCTTTGCGAGACGCAATAAAGTGGCCAAACACATCTATCTGCATGTGTACAAATGAATAATCTATAATAATCCATAAATTATGGATTAATAATCTGTATTATATTGCTGCTCATAGTAGGCAAATTAAAGTCAGACTGTAACTGTCTTGAAACTTGTTGAAGGCAGTGGATTTCTATCAGAACCTTGGTTTTCATAGCCAAAAACTCTCTCCAAGAAGTTTTTATGAGATCTCTAAATTTATCATCTTTCAAGTGCCTTCAGCTAAAAATATTAAAGCTAAAATAAAGCAAATGAATAAAATCAATGTTTAAAAACATCTAGACCTCACTAATCAACTACTTGACCATCTTGCTCCATCCTTTCTCTAACCCCATACAGTCTACTGTATCATATTTGATAAAGTAGTTGAAGTTCTCTAAATTATCAACATGATCAGACCTTTTCTGAAAAACATGTTGTACACAATCTATTACATGCCTTCTGTCATTTGATTGATAGTTGTTACTTTTTAGAAAGTAAAAGACCTTTGAGAATCATCTAAAACCGCCCCCTTTCGGTCGTCATGCATGTCTTTGTGCTGTGCAATCTTTACTGATTTTTATAAAGTAAACTTCATAGCATTTATATAGTTAGCAATTATTTAAGATGAATACTTACCAAACTTATGTTTACTTGATTATCAGAACAAACATGATCAAATTTGTGTATCAAAAATGATACACGGTACGTTTATTTGTTCATCTCAGTCATCACTGTACTGCATTACATTACATTATATGTTTTTCCACCACAATAAAAAAACCTCAGAGCTTTGATCATAAAACTAAGCAAATTTCATAAGACATATTGTTGAAAGATGTAGAGTGACAACTGATATGTATGCATTTTATGTAAGTCTATTATACTTATTCTTTTTTTTAAAGGGGACATCAGATGCCCATTTTCCACAAGTTGATATGATTCTTTAGGGTCTTCATGAAAAGTCTATAAAATACTTTGGTTAAAATTTCTCAATAGTAGTGTAAAACAACACCCATTTTGCCATGTCAAAACAGCTCTGTTCACAGCGACCCATTTTGTTGCATGTCCCTTTAAATGATAATGAGCTCTGCTTACCCCACCCCTCTCTTCCAGCGATTTGCAAAGATTCATTAAAACATTTGCAGCATGCTCACATCAGCGCTAATATCCTCGTGGGCAGCGTACTGACATACAGCGCCATTGCCCTTTGGGCATCCCGAGTTCGAGTCCCGGCTCAAGGACCTTTCCTGATCCTGTCTCCCACTTTGCTTTCTGTCTAATATACTGTCCTATACTAATAAAAAAGGCACAAATAAATCTTAAAAAAACATGGATATGCTGTTTCCGTTCAGATCAAATCACAACAATGCAGGAAACAGATCCGGCGTGACGCAGCTGACACAGAACAGCATACGCTGTTTACATCCAGTGGATATTCTCTAAAATGGCACCAGGGTGATGTGGAGGAGACTAATTGTTGAATAAAGTCGGGGTTTTTTTCTTTTGCGCACAAAAAGTATTCTCGTAGCTTCGTATAATTGCGGTTGAACCACTGATGTCACATGGATTATTTTACCGATCTCCTTGCTACGTTTCTGGACCTGGGAACATTTCAGTTGCGTTGCTGTCTATGCAGGGTCAGACAGCTCTCAGATTCCATCAAAAACATCTTAATTTGTATTCCAAAGATGAACGAAGATTTTTCTCTCTGGTTTTATGACAGCTGTATCTTTTAATGGTTATCAGTAGACCATTAAAACATTACAATCTAAAATTGCTCTTTAAAGCATTAAAAACACTAAATTAAAAAAGTTAAAATAACTGAATTAAAAATGAAAATAAATAATAGAAATCAGACTACATTTTAACTGATAAGAGGAATACACATTTATCTCATTTACGCTAGTAATTGGGGCTGAATTAGCCAGCTTACATTTGATTTACAGTTACTGCTATCATAAAAACACACTTATATGTAGGATTACAATTCTACATGTGTCACATTTAATGTCAACAATTTTGGTGTCGAGACTCATTTAAACATAATTAAAGGCTATCTGCTTAGTAACAAGAGAGCAGAAGAGAAGAACTGCTGTAAGTCAAGGTTTCTGCCAAATTACCCTATGCAGCTGTAAAAGCAAAAGAGCTTGTTCCTTTTAATTGCCTTTCTGACTGAAGTCTTTGCTTTTGAATACAAAACGAAAGAGAAAATGATTTATTTTTAGCATGTTCTTGGTTTGCAGGCGAATGTTGATGAATACATTTTGCAGACCTAAAAATAAAAAGGTTGATGATTTTAGAGCCTTTATGACAGAAGTTGTCAATATGCAAAACCGCTTGTGTGTGTTTGAATATGTGCAAGAATGGTATATATAGCCACCCCATCATTATTTTAAAAGCATTTATTCGTTTTTTTCTCTCTGAGTTTGAGGCTTGCAGAAAGTTCAGTCACTGCAGAAGGAAAATTTTGTTGTTGTTGTTGTTGAGTGTTCGAGGTCAAAGGTCACTGTAACATCTGACCAGCGTGTTGTTCACCACTGATGAGTTAAGTGTGGATACAGGCAGATTTGTTTTAGTACATAATCATCCCTCAATGGCTTGCTGTGGGACTCTGAATATCACGATGAACAGAATATGCCTGTTAAAAAATCCAGCAGGTCATCATCAGATGTTGCTGTGAACATAATTTTTCTTAACAAGTAAAAAAAATTATAATAATCTGCTCTAAGGCTGGAATACACGACATGACTTTTAAAATCTGAACATATTTTAAAAACACTACACATAATACAAAAAATTGCTAACTTTATAGAGACAGGAAAAAACACTGGACATGATACACTAAACGATTAAGAATCACACACTACCAGACTTTCCAGTCATTCTGAAAAAAAAAAAAAAAAAAACATATTGCATAGAAATGTTTCACCACTGATGAGTTAAGTGTGGATACAGGCAGATTTGTTTTAGTACATAATCATCCCTCAATGGCTTGCTGTGGGACTCTGAATATCACGATGAACAGAATATGCCTGTTAAAAAATCCAGCAGGTCATCATCAGATGTTGCTGTGAACATAATTTTTCTTAACAAGTAAAAAAAATAATAATAATCTGCTCTAAGGCTGGAATACACGACATGACTTTTAAAATCTGAACACATTTTAAAAACACTACACATAATACAAAAAATTGCTAACTTTATAGTGACAGGAAAAAACACTGGACATGATACACTAAACGATTAAGTATCACACACTACCAGACTTTCCAGTCATTCTGAAAAAAACAAAACAAATACATCTTGCATAGAAATGTGCGCCTCCTCACTAGGAGGAGTATGACAAATGAAAAAAAAAAGTGTTTTAAAATCGACTCAAAGTATCAAATATGTTTGAAATCGTGGCCAGAACTAAACCAGTACAAACAAGTTCAACAATGGATCAAGATTAAAACTCAAGCTGATCTAAATTATGATTTCAACCCTTATGAATTTGGTGTAAGACCAATTTTCAGGCTCTGCCTCACACTCACACTACTGAACTAACACAAAATAATCGCTAAATCTCTTCATTGAATTTTCCGACCAGCTCTTGACTTGTTTGTTCTACCACAGATGTTCTTGACTGGTCTAAAGCACAAAATTCGAAAGAAAAATAGATGCTTTCCTTTGTTATGCATAATTGTATATCCACCTAATTTTGCGATGTGGAAGTAAGCTCTTTTCTTTGAATGTATCACAGAAAAGTTCATAAGGACAGTTTCTAAAATCTTCATCTTGTACAACATTAGGCTTAAGTATTTGGGTAATTTCCATTATTAAGCTTAAATTAAAAACAAATTTATGGATAACTCAAATTATCTCAAAACCTCAAATAGGGACATGTCATTGATTTAGCCATGTCATCAAAATCTCACTCCAGGCAACCAAAGTTTTCAATTCTGCCTAAATTCAAAACAATCATTTGGCTTATATTGCAAGTGAATATGCTTATAACAGTCTGGATAAGGCTAGTTGTAAACCCATTGTAAATCCATCTGAACTCCTACATTCACATGTAAACATAATATCCAGAGTCTCGTTCAGCTAAACTTGCAAATACAGTACTTAAAATACCAACATTATAAACGGAGTACTTTTGGAAAACGTTAGATTTCTTAGGTAATGGATTTTGCAAGACATTACTCCAGTATGCCAATACCTGGGACAAGCAATGCACACACATTCACTTTAAGACAACAGCTTAGTGACTCCTGTATTTTTTAGCGATCATTAATTTTCAGAATTTTTGATGGCAACAGATGGCAAATTGGCCACTTTGAACAGTATCAATCATTATGCCTAGTATTGTACTAAAATACATTTTTAGTTTAATAGAACCCCTGCAAATTGGAACAAATGCAGTGGTGTCAAAAAACCTGCGATGAAAGGTGTGTGAGATCCCCCTGTGGTGTAGCTATACAACAACACGTTTAATGTCTTCTTTTGTGTTCCATACAAAGAGTCAAAGTTTGGCTGGTTAGCGTAACCCATTTAGCTTGTGCCAAACTACCATGTGGCAAAAAAAAAGAAAAAAAAATGTATAAAATTAATATGTATGACTAGCATTCATTTTAAAATAATTAATCGCTAAATATTTCATAATATTGTAGTAGGCCTAGATGCTTTACCAATTTTTGTATGTGTATGTGTGTACACCTTTTAAAACAATGGAACAGACTTACATTTTTACCGGTATTTGGCGCCTTTCTCAGCACTCAATAGCAAGTGAAGGGTTTTGAACTGTCCTGTAATAAACAATAACAAAATGTAAATTAAATAGAGAATGTAGTTTCACTTAAGTTTGGCATCCTTAGATATTTCTTTAAAGTATAATAATGTGGATATGATAAATTCAAAACAATAAAGGGATCAACAATTAAATAAAGAAGACTGTGTTTTGGCACTGTGCACATTCTAGCTTGGTATTTAGCCAATCAGCTCTGTGATGATGTATTAATATGCTGCAGGTTTGGTTGGAACGTTTTGCTCTATTTGTTGCATGCGCTACCTGTTTTATGCAGGGAGAAACCACTCCAAACTAGCGAGGTGTTTGATTCAAACAGAATCATGAACTGATTCAGAGTGTTTTGACCAATTAATTGAAATGAATCGACTTAAAATTTTGATTCTAATATTTAGTGAGTCAGCCTGACATTTCCACTTCTGACATTGCATTAGCTAAATTTAATTAGTTGGATATTTCTTCGCCAGTAGGTGGCAGCAGGGACTGTCTTTATAAAGGCCTTGACACACAAAGCCGATTTTAAAGAACTAGCGGCGACGAAAGCCGACGGAGATGTCGCCTCGCGTCAGACAAAAAAAGTTGCATGTGAACACACCGCACAGACTTTAGCCTACTGCAAACTAACACGTGCGTTCTGTGCCTGCGTGAGAGGAATTAGCTGTCTATATCAGCAGCTATCAATAGTAAATATTTGTCATTTAATTGGAGAAACCGAAACAAAGATATTTGAGATAAACGCAGATATACGAAATGCAAACAAAGCAGCGCTTGCTTACCATTTTGAATATCAGTAAAGTTGATAACTTTAATCATTTTAAGCGGCTCGTGAATGTTATGAAAACATTCGAGTATTGGAATGCTTGGGTAAGGATCATGTCACATCAAAAAACAGCCTTTTGTCTGTGTCTTTATAAAGGCCTTGACACACCAAGATTGTGTCTTTATAAAGGCCTTGACACACTTCATTTACTTGCCCGTTTTCATCACTTTCGCTTTAATTCTCCTGCTTGGACTCCTTTGCTAAACTGAACATCCAATCAGAGTTCTCTTTCTCACCGACGGTCCCGACAGCCATGTTGAATCGGGCAAACTACCGCCGACGTGAGCCCGACGAGAGCCGACGAGTGGAACACACCAAACAAATTAACCCGACGGACGCTCACCGACGGCTTGGTGTGTCCCAGGCTTAAAGCTCTAAACACACTGCACGATTTTCTGCTGTCCCAGACGAAAGATTGGCATCGAGAAACAATCTTGGCGATTTCTGTGATCGTGGCTTCAAATCGGTGGTCCTGTGTCGTACAGTGAGAGAGGTTTAAAGACGGCCGTTATCACGATCTTGCAACCAAAGATAGCCTACGATACAGCATGATCATCGCACAGTGTGTTTGCTGGTATGATCCACGTTTACTGACCAACCAATAAAAATGCGGCATGAAATCAACGCAACATGGCGCTAAAACATAAAACTGCTTACCCCAAGCTCTTATGCCTTCCTCTTTTGACACTTTTTTTCAGCAAACATAAAAAACTACAACTGCTAAAGTGTGAATTATCATGCTGTTTTTGTTTACCACTCGCGCATTCTGATGACGTTTTATTCTTCTATAGTAACGTGCTTTGTAGCGTACAAGTCAATAGGTATCATCATCGTACAGTCTACACATATGTCATAGTCAAGTTTATTAGATCCATGTTGCACAGTGTGGCATGCAATGATCTTATAGGATATATATATATATATATATATATATATATATATATATATTCCTGTGGTAGAAAACGTTGTGGCACCAACATAGGCTACTATAAAGGGGGGCCCTTGGGTTTGCTGTAGCCCCAGGGCACTATGTCTTCTTAATCCGGGCCTGCATGTAGTAGTCAGAGACTAGGAGAATTTTCCACATACATTTTGAGAAAAAGAAAAAACTATTAAAATATCTTGTACGTTCTCATTCTATTCTCATTATGAGAGGACACAGCTGGCAGTCTGCTTTGGGTGCCATTCTTGTGTGACCTATAATATATAAGAATCAATTTGCAATGGATGGGTAGGCCTGAATTATAATATCCCATTGTGAATTCCCTTCTTAAAATAACATGAAATAGCACAAGGTTAAGAGGCAATTATAATGAGTCCTATTATTTCTGTTTATCAAGTCAATAACACATTGTTGAGCAGCTTATAAAGAAAGTAATTAAGAGTAAAGCTCGGAAATATTTTTTCTTCCTTATTTGGATCATTTTTTTTTTTCTTTTTTTCATATTTTTATAATTTAAAAATCATGGATGTTAAGTGATTTTTCATTACCCGATGGGGTACTTTAACTTTTATATCTTGACTATTGTCACAAATCAAGCCTCTGTGGCTCCCTCCGATCACCACCAGAGGGAACCATCACCGGAATATTAACCGGTTCTTTCGGATTTCATTTCCCATCACCCTGTGCCTGATCACCTGCACAGGTGTTAATCATTACCCAGACTATTTAAGCTGTGCCTTCTCTACCCTTTTTGCGAAGTCTTGTTTTGCTTCTGCTGACATTACTAAATGTTTGTTCCCAGTTTGATTGCCTGTCACCTACCTGGATTGTTTATTCTCTTCTGATCGTTTGCTGCCTGCCTTATTGACCCTGCCTGTCTAGTGGATTTACTCTATTCTCTGTCTGCCGCCTGCCTCGACCATTTGCATGGACTCCGTTTATGATTCTGCCTAGCCTAAGTTGTTCTTAATGCTGCTGACTGAACTTTGCCTGTCTGACTCATCTGGTGTATTAATAAAGTTGCACATGGATCCCAACGCCACTGACTCTTCGTCACAGAAGACTTTGCCTTAGACTATCACGGACCTTCCCTTGTCCAGGGTTCATACCACTATCCTCACAGTGATTGACCGTTTTTTCCAAAGCATGTCGCTTGATCTCTCTGCCCAAACTGCCCACAGCTCTCGAAGCAGCCGAATCCTGTTTCATTTCGGTTGGCTTTACCCTCAAATTATCGTATCTCACCCACCTTTCATGTGTCTCTGCTTAAGCCTGCTGGTGGTTTGAGAGGAGCAGAGTACCAGGAGGAGGCTGGTGACAGAGGAGCCCCTTCCATCATCGTAGACTGCGAGGAGGCGTATCGTGTTTGTGAGATTCTGGACTCCTGTCGCCGGGTTAGGTTACTCCAGTATCTATTGAATTAGGAGGGGTATGGTCCAGAGGAACGGTCCTGGGTCAATGCAGAGGACATTCTGGACCCCTCTCTTACCACAGACATTCACAGGACCCATCCGGATAAACCAGCCCCGAGACCCCGTGGAAGACCCCGGCGTTGTTTGCATCCTCGCATCAGGAGCCGCTCACAGGGAGGGGGCTCTGTCACATATCAAGCCTCTGTGGCTCCCTCCGATCACCACCAGAGGGAACCATCACCGGAATATTAACCGGTTCTTTCGGATTTCATTTCCCATCACCCTGTGCCTGATCACCTGCACAGGTGTTAATCATTACCCAGACTATTTAAGCTGTGCCTTCTCTACCCTTTTTGCGAAGTCTTGTTTTGCTTCTGCTGACATTACTAAATGTTTGTTCCCAGTTTGATTGCCTGTCACCTACCTGGATTATTTATTCTCTTCTGATCGTTTGCTGCCTGCCTTATTGACCCTGCCTGTCTAGTGGATTTACTCTATTCTCTGTCTGCCGCCTGCCTCGACCATTTGCATGGACTCCGTTTATGATTCTGCCTAGCCTAAGTTGTTCTTAATGCTGCTGACTGAACTTTGCCTGTCTGACTCATCTGGTGTATTAATAAAGTTGCACATGGATCCCAACGCCACTGACTCTTCGTCACAGAAGACTTTGCCTTAGACTATCACGGACCTTCCCTTGTCCAGGGTTCATACCACTATCCTCACAGTGATTGACCGTTTTTTCCAAAGCATGTCGCTTGATCTCTCTGCCCAAACTGCCCACAGCTCTCGAAGCAGCCGAATCCTGTTTCATTTCGGTTGGCTTTACCCTCAAATTATCGTATCTCACCCACCTTTCATGTGTCTCTGCTTAAGCCTGCTGGTGGTTTGAGAGGAGCAGAGTACCAGGAGGAGGCTGGTGACAGAGGAGCCCCTTCCATCATCGTAGACTGCGAGGAGGCGTATCGCGTTTGTGAGATTCTGGACTCCTGTCGCCGGGTTAGGTTACTCCAGTATCTATTGAATTAGGAGGGGTATGGTCCAGAGGAACGGTCCTGGGTCAATGCAGAGGACATTCTGGACCCCTCTCTTACCACAGACATTCACAGGACCCATCCGGATAAACCAGCCCCGAGACCCCGTGGAAGACCCCGGCGTTGTTTGCATCCTCGCATCAGGAGCCGCTCACAGGGAGGGGGCTCTGTCACATATCAAGCCTCTGTGGCTCCCTCCGATCACCACCAGAGGGAACCATCACCGGAATATTAACCGGTTCTTTCGGACTTCATTTCCCATCACCCTGTGCCTGAGACTGATCACCTGCACAGGTGTTAATCATTACCCAGACTATTTAAGCTGTGCCTTCTCTACCCTCTTTGCGAAGTCTTGTTTTGCTTCTGCTGACATTGCCAAGCGTTTGTTCCGTTTGACTTCCTGTCGCCTACCTGGATTGTTTATTCTCTTCTGATCGTTTGCTGCCTGTCAAGTGGATTTACTCTATTCTCTGTCTGCCGCCTGCCTCGACCACTTGCATGGACTCTGTTTATGATTCTGCCTAGCCTACGTTGTTCTTAATGCTGCGGACTGAACTTTGCCTGTCTGACTCGTCTTGTGTATTAATAAAGCTGCACATGGATTCCAACATCACTGACTCTTCGTCACAACTATATTCAATTGGTGTTATAGGATTTTATTCCTTCAGACTGTGTTTGAGTATTTCCTTACTCTTACACAGAAATGTATGCTTCTACATCAAATTTCTTTCAAATAAATGTTTACAAGTGCAAAGAAATTGCAAGTAAAATGGAAAGAAACATGACATTTT